GGTTTGCTGTGAAAGTATTTATCACTCTGTTGCTACTCTATTTCTTTGTCTTCTTCTCTAGACTGTGCTTTTTTAAGCCAAATAATATCAATTCCTCAAAAAAGCCCAGGCACTCAGGCTTCAAAATATTTGGCAATAAAGGTGGGCAGAAGGCTTCCTAAAAAAGATAAGGCTTTTGTCAGGTACTGAATGCTGGGATTTAGACTAAAAGGAAAACAGAGAAGCTCTGGGATCTGGGAGAGTGAAGGGCCTCAAACTGCTCTGTTACGATGAGGACCTCTGAAGACCATGCCACTAGCATACCAGATGTGAAAGAAAACCACTGCCTGCCATATCAGCAAACAAAGGCTGCTGCAGCCATCAAGCCAACAGCCACTACCACCGCCCCAGCAGTGAGCCCAAGGGAACTGAGGATGGAGATGTATAGGCTGCCTGGTGCCAAGCCCTCAGTCACTGCAGCCGCCCTCAACGGTGGGTGGAATCAGGATGGGAAAGAACAAGACACTGGCTCTAGATAGCTAAGATGCATATCAAAGGAATGATTTCAGTGAGCCCACATAGGACAAGTCACTATAAACCTCCTAGAAGAAAACATAGGCAAAACATTCTGACATAAGTCTTAGCAATGTTCTCCTAGGGCAACCTACCCAGGCAATAGAAATAAAAGCAAAAATAAACAAATGGGACCTAACTAAACTTACAAGCTTTTGCACAGCAAAGAAAACTATAAATGAGACAAAAAGACAACCTACGGGATGGAAGAAAATATTTGTAAAATGATGTAACTGACAAAGCTTAATTTCCATAATATACAAACAGCTCACACAACTCAGTAACAAAAAAACCAACAACCCAATCAATAAATGGGCAGAAGACCTAAATAAGCATTTCTCTGATGAAGACTTACAAATGGCCAATAGGTATATGAAAAAATGCTCAGTAACACTAATTACAAGAGAAACGCAAATCAAAAACTTCAATGAGGTATCACCTTGCACCAGTCAGAATGGCCATCACTAAAAAGTCCACAAATGATAAATGCTGGAGAGGGTGGGGACAAAAGGGAACCCTCCTACACTGCTGGTGAAAATGTAGTTTGGTGCAGCCATTATGGAGGACAGTATGGAGATTCCTTAAAAAACTAAAATAGCCTTACTCTATGATCCAGCAATCCCACTCTGGGACATATATCCAGAGGAAACTCTAATTCAAAAAGATACAGGCACTGTAATGTTCATAGTAGCACGATTTACAATAGTCAATACATGGAAGCAACCTAACTGTCCATCAACAGACGACTGGATAAATGGAGTACTACTCAGCCATAAAAAAGAATGAAATAATGCCATTTACAGCAACATGGATGGACATGGAGACTGTGAAGTAAGCCAGAAAGAGAAAGAAAAATACCATATCACTTATATGTGGAATCTAAAAAAAATGACACAAATGAACTTACAAAATAGAAAAAGACTTACAGAAATAGAAAACAAACTTATGGTTACCAGAGGGGAAGTGGAGGGGTGGAAGGATAAATTGTGAGTTTGGGATTTGCAGATACTAACTACTATATATAAAATAAGCAAACAATAAGTTTCTACTGTACTACACAGGGAATTATACTTAATATCTTCTAATAGCCTATAATGAAAAAGAACATAAAAAATATGTGTATGTATAACTGAACCACTGTGCTGTATACCAGAAATTAACACATTGTAAACTGACTATACTTCAATAAAAATAAATAAAACAAAAGAAAAAGAAAAAATCAATGAGCCCAGACTTGCGTCTTCCCATACATAGAAAAGAACTAAATTATCTTGAGATATCTGTTTTTCCTTAATTAACAGTAATCTTTTGATGTTCCAACTATCTGGTCTTTGTTGCAAAACTCCTATATATCCTGGCTCCTCCTTTACCTCTTGGGAGTAGTCCCTCAGAGCTATTTGAGAAGCTGCCTCCCTGGCTTGAAGTCCTCAGAATGTCCACCGAATAAAACAATTCTCAACTTGAAGGTTGTGTATTTTCTTCAATGGACACAGATTTCCAATACTGGATGGGGAAGTAAGGGTGGAGCCATGTACACAATTAAACCACCTCACAATAATAAAACCTGATCAACAAGTAAAAGAGAAGGTGAAATTATTTTTACTAAATAATCACAAGTTCTCTTTCAAGTTGCCTCTCTTTTAGTGTGTTTACATATCATGAAATATTTAACGGAGGGAAAAATTACAAAAGGAATCCCAAGACACTGCCAGTTAAGAATAAGCCAACAAGCTTAATAAAGCAAACATAAAATTATACCCAGAAGAAAAGAGAACATTTAATAATCAAACACTTCTCGTCTTGCAGGAGAGAAAGCTCCCCTTCACTACTGAGATCAGGATGGGAAAACCTCACCGGGCCCGCCCCTACCCGGAGCCTCCAAGCGCCTACAGCCTAGACGTCTAGAGCCCCGCCCCTCCAGCCTTACCCTCAGGTACCACCGGAAGTCCTCGCCCACCGGCCGGAGGTTGGTGACATTCTCCAGCGTGGCTTTGAGCTGCAGCGCGATTTTCTGAGGAGGAATGCCAGGGCGACTGCATCAAACAGCGCCTGCGCAGCCCCAGGCCTAGCCCCTGCCCTGCCCCGCCCCTCCCCGCTCGAGCTCTGCCTCCCCGCTACTTCTCAGCGCGAGCCCACTCTCCTAATTTCCTCCTGGCGCGAGCCCCTGCCTGCCTTCCAGGTCCTCGCCACCTCCCAGCCCCTGCCTTGGAGGCGGTTCGCCACCGCCTTACCCCCATAGTGGCCCGGGCCGGCGGCGTTGTCTGCGGCCGCTGCTTTCCGGCCTGTCGTAAACTGCGGGCGCCGCCTGCGCACCCTCGGTGCGGGTTCGGGGCGGGGTTTGGGGTGGGGGTCTCCGCGAGCTGTTGCCTCTCCCGCGCATCTGGCTTTTTGTCTTGGGCAAAGTGAACCTGTGGAGGTCGCGGAGTCCGCAATTACTCGATGCTCAGACCGGCGGCAGGCTGCCTCCAGCAATCGGTAATTCCAGATACTGAACACCGATCTTGTGCCAGCACTAAGCTAGTCTGAGGGATACCTCAGCGAAGAAGACGGTCCCTGCCGGAAACCTCTGCCAGGGCTTTTTCCTGGCCCCTCACGACTCTGCCTTCCCTCACCCAACCTCGCGGTTGATCCCTGCCTGCCCCTCTGCGGCTTAGACCACGTCCGTTCAGTTTGCCCGGGGCCGGCTTCACAAATTTGGGAGATGGGACCTTTTTCTTTTTTAAACTGCTCCTTACTCTTTTCCTCCCTGAGACCTTTCAGACGGTTGCCCCGTGTGCAAGTCCGCATTGTGGTCCCCAAGACTGAACACTTCCCTTCAGCAGGCTTTTTTCTGCGTCCTTGGCTTATTCTTATACATTTACTGAGCCTTGTTTTACCTGTGGTCTTGTCCAGGGCACATTTGAGAGCATACAGAAGCTGTGAGCATGTTACAAGGAACAGCGTATTTGAGTCTTTTATAGCCTGGTGAGATCTACTTTCTGTGAAATTTAGAGTGACTCCTTAGGATGTCTAATTTACCACAAACTTACTTCGTTGCCCCCAAGTACCCTTCTGTAGCAGAGGGGGCACTGGAGTCAGGAACCTTGACATCTCAGGTCCCAGATTTGCACCTTTTGACCAAAATAAAGTCACACAACTGAGAGTTGTGAGTTAAGTTTTATTTGGGGTAAAATGAGGACAACAGCCTGGGAGACAGCATTTCAAATAGCTCTGAGTAACTGCTCTGAAGAGGCAGAAGGAACTCAGTATCATACATGATTTTAGTGGACAGTGGTTACATACAGTCAAACACACACTTAGGCAGAGCCTTGCTGCTAGTCGTTAAGGAGCAGATGTCACCATTAATGTAGTGCTTTTCTAGATTTGAGGACACATAAGAATTTGGGCTCATAAAATGTTCTGAAAATACCTACCTGAAGGCCTATTCAGCCAGTTTTCCCAGAGCACAGAGTGCCTCATTCCTGCTCTCCACTCTGAACTTTTAGGGAGTGAAGGTCAGCGGCTGCAGCGGCTCATTTTATCCAAGTAGAGGTAGATGGCAAGTGACAATTTTTAGTTGGCACACCTAACTTACTGCCCTATAATCTTTGAGGGAGGCAAAGTAGAGCACTGGCCTAGGAGTCATGACATACGACCTGTCCCAAGTTGGTCTTGCAGGATGTGAGTTTAGCCTGATCACTTCCCCTCAGTCAAATGAGACTTACCAAGACCCAGTTCATTTCAGCACCCACAATGTGTTCAGCAATCTGCCTCACTAAGGAAGCCATGCAATTTAGCAGCAAGAAAAAGTTCCTACAAATCTACCTGCTGAACAAATTCCCACTCTGTACCAACTATGTCTCACTTAATGGCTGTTGGCATGCTGATTTTAAAATGAGTTATTGGAAAAATTTTCTGAGACCAGGTATTTTATTGCTTACAGTGTAATAAACCAAAGTATTTTACCCCATACAGAAGTAGCTACAGCTGTAGCTATGAAGGTGCTTAAAAAACCCAACCTCAATTATCTCTCTATAAAACTGGATGAAAAAGAAAAAGACACTAACCACAATACCATTTCACATCTAAAAAATTAACAATACTTCATTAATACCAAACATCCAGTGTTCAAATTTCCTTAATGATGTCACTTTACATTTCCTAAATCATGATCCAAATAGGGTCCAAACATTGTACTGATTATGTCTCTCAAATCTCCTTTAATGTGCAGGTTCCCACTCCATCTCCATTTATTTTATGTTTGCAGCTTATTTATTGAAGAAATCAGATTCGTTGTCCTGGAGTTTTCTCTGGACACTGATTGAATTTCCACTGTATTTTTTTAGCATGTTTCTCTGTTTTCTTATTTCCTATAAACTGGTTATGTGTACAGAGTTGATTCAGTTTTTGGCAATACCTCACATAGGATGTTAGTGTTAAAAAGTAATTGAGAAGAATTTACATGTTCAGGTCTTTAAATACAATAAAAACTGCTTTTGTTATGTTTTTATTAAAGACATTCACTTATAGTTCATTAAAAAATTGCCCTGATATACACAAAAATGTTCTCATAATGGTAATTAAAAGCAGCTACTCCCACCTCCCCCTTGTGTCCACACACCAATATTCAATTTAGATTGGCTTAATCTTGAAGTGTAATCCAATAAGACTGAAGACCAAACACTTCAGGTCCTGGACAAGATAATAAAATACTCGTAAGCCTTCTGGATCCCTAAAATGTAAGAGGAAAAAAATATTTTAAAAGCTGAGAAAAAAATACCATTTAATAACCCAGGTTATTTACATACCAAATATTCTTCATAAAGGTATTTACAGAATTAAATCTTTCAAAACAATCAAGTGTCCAAAAAGAAGAAAATGGAATATTATGAGGTCATTTAAAATGTTAAGGTTTTTTTTAAAATGAGGAAATGCTTGTATCATTTTAAGTGGAAAAAAATCATGATTAAAATAATAGACTGTTGATCTCAATTACTTTTTTTGTGCTTTTAAAAGACTACTTTTTTTAAAGCACAGAAAAAAGACAAGAAATAAAGATTAATGGTTATCTAATTGCAGTTTATGGGTGATTTTCCCCTTTCTACTTTTCTACATTTCCTGTATTTTCTACTATGAGCATGCATTACTTTCAGAATTAGGAAAACTTCTCTTTTAAGATGTAGTACTAAGTTGGGCCCAGAGGCCAAATATTATGGCATAACTGGCTAAGAACAAGTAGACTGTCCAAAGGAAGACAATCATGCCCAATAGGTACTAAAAGTGAGCCGTATCTAATCCTAAATCCTCAAAGCACAAGAGCCAAAGAGGTTGCCAAATTTTAAGGACTCTTTGTGGCATATAGGCTCATGTCTCAACTTTATAATTTATCCTATTAACAAAATGACTTTTTAAACTGATATTCTAAGTCATTTAAAGTTTCACCAAAGTCAGACTTTCACTTGTTTTGGTGTATTTCATTTTCTGTTCTGGCTAGATTCTTACCCACTCTGGCTGCTCCTAAGGTATTTACAGAATTAAATCTTTGAAAACACTGAGAAGCTCTTATTAGCAGTGTTTGAATAGCATACCAAAAGCAATAGGAACAAGCCCTTGAAAATAATTTGAAGGGGACAAAGCTGGCCCCTTCTGTCTTGCACTTATACCAGATGTTACCATAATGGTCCCAATTTGGTTAAAGGTTTCACATCAATCTGCTCTAAAACAGACACATCTGGTTATAAGGATCGTGTACCTACTTGGATTGATTGACATCAATAAGGGAACCAATTTTTGATGTTGTGAAAGAAATGTGTTCATCTCCAATGACGATTTCAAGCTCCTAGAAACATTAGAAGAAGTAAGACAAGCTGAATTAGATTTTTTCATCAATCACGCAGAAGAAGGGTTCATCATCTGTCAAATCACACAAACTCTAATACAGAAGGCCACGTGAACACGACCAGTTCAATCTGAGCACTAAATCGTGCTGGGGACTAAAACAAAGAGATAATTAAATACTGAGTTAGCCCTTGAGTAGCTCACACTCTTAAGATGAAGTTATGTCTGTGAGGCTCCACCACTTGGAAGAATTTACATCATGTTCTGTATATTAGCTTTCATTGTTAACAATGTGGAGTAACATGTCTAAATGTTTTACAAATACTAAGAATCTAACTTTTTTGGACAACGTGGGACAAGGCAAAAAATTCTAGATCCTGGGTTTGATCCCAGCTTTGTCACTTACTAGCTGTATGCCCTTGTACCTCCATTTCTAGAGTGAAACAAGTACTATAAATCTTCAATTGATCAATCAATCAATTGGGCGGGGAAGAAGGGGTGCTATGGGACAGATCAGCAAAACCAAAGATCTCTGCCTTTGTGGGACTTTAGAGCCCTACTTCTTTTCTTTTTTCCCTCCCCATTCTTTCTGTTTTTTAGTTTTTCAGTATGAAAAGAATTCAAACAGAAAATAGAGAAAACTCTTAAGACCAATGTTCTCAACGCTCAGAATTGAAAATGTTAATATTTTGTCATATCTGTGTGAGACTTTTCTTCAAAAGAAATAAAATATTACAGATAGCGTTTAGGCCTAGCTCCTGTTCCACTCTCCTTCCTGCATCCCCAGAAGTTGAGGTGTATTCTTTCCACTCATGGTTTTGGTAGTATGTTCTTAAGATTTTACATAATCTAACTTGAGTAAGTACTGAGGATGGGATTTTTTTCACTCTTCCTCAAGAGCTGGTCCATCATTTTGAGTTAATTAGAATAAACTTACATGAGTTCTCACATTGATTTATCACTGAGCTTTTACTATACACTGGCACTATCTTAGTCGCTACAGATACAGCAGCAAAAAAAAAAAATCCTCGTTTTGAAGGAGTTTTTATGTGTATATATACATCTGTTGTGGAGGAAGAGGGATACATAAAGAAAACCAAACAAAATTTCAGACAATGATAAATGCTATGAAGGTAAGAATCAGATCTTATTTTAAAAAAAAATGATGGGGAAGGCATTTTAGATCAGATGGACAGGCAAGACATCACTGAGGAAGTGACATCTGAAAACCTCAATAATAAAGACAGGCTTGGACAGATTACCCCAGGCAACATGAAGCAAATGCAAAGGTCCTAAATGAAGAACAACCTAGGAGGAACAGAAGTAAGGCCAGTGAGGTTTGAACCAAGAGAGATCATGAGAATGATAAGATAAGGTGGGAGTTTGGATTTTATTTTAAATGCAGTGGGAAGCCACTGGAGAGTTTAAAATCAGTGGAATATATAACCAAATTTACATTTTAAAGGTTACTCTGGTTTCAGGATGGAAAAATGGGCTATAAGGGATAAGACAAGAAACAATGAAATCAATCAGAAGTCTAGACTATAAAGGTAGCACTGAAGTGGTGAGAAGACTCTTCCCTGTGAATTCAGTCAAACATGACAGTGGCTTTTATTTTTTAATCACCATAACAGTCTTCAGAACAAACATGTAAGCCACAAATTTAAACACATGTACTTGGTTGCTTGCATGATTTCCCATTAGATTGTTGAAATAACTATGTTTTATTTATCTTTGTATCCTCACTCTACTTTGTCCATAGTAGTTACTCAGTAGGTGACATGGGCAGCAAAAACTCTGAAAAGGTGGGAAGGGGTTATAAGAAAAAATTCAGAGCTGGGCTCTAGGTGGTCAGCAGCACCACTTGCTCTCCCTGATCCTCCCTGTGGGATTACTGCTTCCTTAGACCAAGGTACTGGCAATCTGCTCTGTGCGGGGCTCCACAACGCACACACATACCTGTGTGTATTCAATGTCATATGCAGAGCAATAAACCTTACCTTATTTGTAAGATTTCTGCACTGTGGGTAGTTGCCAAAACACTCACCTGCCGGCCTACTCGGTCAGGAGGAGGCCACAGAGCATCATCCTCTTTGGTAATTTCACTGTCATCAATTATTCTCTTCAGTTCCTCCATCACGCTTTTATGTACATAAGCCTGAAAGCAAGTTAAAAAGCAGAATTTAAGTTGTATCCCTAAGCAGCATTCTGACTCAGTAATGAAAGATAAAGACTACTACTCCTGAACACGTTTTTGGCAGCTTTGCAAGTGGGAAGACATTCCAGCTTGACCGCAGCATGCCAAGAGGGCAGGGTCAGAAGTGCCCAATGACAGCATCTCAGTCCCACACATCCTGTTCACGTGGACCTACTCCTTGCCCACCTACCCAACTCATCCCTGAGCCCCAAACAAAAATCTGTGAGAAACCCTGGTTATATTTAACTAAATGACATCCTTCTGAAGAGTAGACATTTCTTTTACAATACACTTTACATATTAGTCCACTGTTTAAAAAAAAAAGTGAGTATGCTGACATGTGTGGGTAAGCATAAAACTGACTGCTAATTAAATAGCACGAAAATATATTGGCTGTTAAGACATTTTCAAATGTGACAAAGTGGTTAAAAGGAAAAAGCCTTAATGGTGTAGTAGAAATCATGCCAAAATCGAGTACATGGGCTTGACAGAGGCAGGCTCTCTTACTAGCAGGGGTAACTATGAACAAGCTCCATAATTAATATCTGGGCCTTCACTGTCTTGTCTGTAAAGGGTATATAATATTCACAAAGGCTTACAATAAAGGTTAAATAAGACCACAGATGCCATGCCTGGCATCTAACATGCATTCAATGATGCTAACTGCTTTTTCATGCTTGCTTTCCCCCTTTCAAATAAAAATTAAAAGACCTCTATTGAGTGCTGGGTTCCAGGGAATACAGCAAACTTTTGAGGGGTGAAGGTGGTTCCTGTTTTTGCAGATGAAGAAACTGAGACTTATCAAGTTCAACCAGGAAATCTGTCCAAGGTCACATGATTAGTAAGCAGCATATTCAGGGTTCAACCCGAAATCTGCAAGACTTCAAACGATTACCAGTAACTGATTCAGCATTGTGAAAGAAAGTAGAAACTAAAAAAAAAAATTTGACAAAAATCTTAGAAGCTGTCTACAAACATATCTATACTTCCCTAGTCTTTATCTTTCAATACTACTCCTAGAAAGAACAAAAACAAGACAAAAGGCTAAGTGGTAGTAAATGAAAGGCTCTCAGAAGGCTCATTACCTCTTTTCTGATCATGACATCATTTTTATAATTGCTGTTGTTGGCATATCTCAATTTCCCTGTGAGAGGCAAAAAACAAGTTCAGTGTATAATAAAAACATGAATAAAGCATCATTAGCAAGACTATCAACTGTTGCTTAAAATGTATCCTAAGTTTTCCTTCAAAGTATCTAACAGATTTACTGTTTACACCTTTGGTGTTCCAACAATATTAGTCTTCTCAGTTTTTCACTTTAGCCTATTAAATAGCCTTCCAATAAAAAATACAGCTGACACTGAATTAGAGTGCCTTCAAAAGGCAGCTCAGGTGTGATAAAACAACAGACTCTTGTCATCAGCAAATCATATCTCTGCAGGTTAATGTCCTCAGCTGAAAACAGGACTAGTAATTGGTAACTTAATACACACATGGCCTCCAGAGGCTCAAATGAGTTATGAAAGCATTTCTGAAAACTGTAAAATGCTGTTTACATATATTATCATGTGACTGTGCAACACTATGATCTATTCCTGTGATGGAAAAGTTGTGGTTTTGTTATAGAGCACACCTGGTATACAAGGCCCTTTGTGCATATGTGCATTCCACAGACTAACCTGGGTATATATGGTGGATACAAAAGAGAAGATAAAAGGGAAGAGATTTTTTTTTCCCTGTAGAATATAAGACACACTAAAAAGAGCCAAATCAACTGATGCCTCACTACACTGCCTCTCTGCCGCATCTCTCTCCCTTCAGTTCATTCTCCATACAGTAGACAAAGCGATGTAGTAACAGATGGATCTGATTAGATTACTCTAATAAACAGACAATGGCTTCCCACTGCCTTTTTGATAAAATCCAACTTCCTCAGCATGGCTTACTGCTAAGCTAAGCTCCTTTCTAGGCTCACTTTTACAATAGTCCTCTCTCACATAGCTGGAGTTAATCAAACTACAGTTGACCATTAAAAACGTGGGAATTAGGGGAGCCTACTCTGCACAGCCGAAAATCCGGGTATAACAGAGTCAGCCCTCTGCATCTGCAGTTCCTCCTGCATCTACAGTTCTGCAGTCTAGAATTCAACCAACCATGGATCACGCAGTACTATAGTGTTTATTGTTGGAAAAAACTCATTTATAAGTGGACCCACACAGTTCAAATCTATATTGTTTAAGGGTCAAATGTACTTGGTCTCTGCCTGAAACATCCCATGCACTTTTTGGTTTTCAGCCTCTTTATTGTTAATGCTGTCCAAAATGCATTCTTGACTTTCATCTGCCTAACCAACTCCTAGACATTACTAAAGAGACACACACACACACACACACACACCCTTCCCCATGTCATTTTATGCAGGAAGCCTTTTCTGACCCTCAGGCTAAGTTAAGTGCCTTCTTTCTGCTCCTAGAGTCCTTTCTGTTTCTTTCTTACAGCACCTAATACACTGTTTTGTCACTGTCAACAGCTCTATATCCTTTACAACTGGGGCTTGTCAGATTTATCTTTGTGCCCCCATTTCGTGGAGGTTGTCTGTCATCTTTGATTCCCTTTCCTTCGCCATACTGGTCCCTCCCCAAATCCTATCAACCGACAAGGTCCTATTGGTTCTGCCTCCAACAGTATTCTAAATCCTTCTACTAACACTCTGGTCACAATCAACATCCCTTTTGTCTTGGCAGTTGTAACTGTCTCCTAATAAGTAGCCCTGTTTCCATCCTTGCCTATTCTGCACCTAATAATTAAAATACTTTTTCAAGAACAGGTTACAACTCTTCTCTGCTTAAAACTTCCCAACTGTTTCCTGCTGCACTTAGAATAAAATCCAAACGCTACCATGGCCTATTAAAGACCTACGTGGTGTAACCCCTGCCTACTTAGCCGACATCATCTCCTACTATTCTCCTCGGAGCTCACTACTCCTCAGCTACACTGGCCACCTGAAATGCGCCTAGCTCATTCCTGCTCTACAGCCTTGTCACTTGTTACTCCATCTACAATACTCTTCTTCCCGATGGTGACAAGGCTGGCTCCTTTCCAGAGTTCTCCAATAGCCACCCTTTCTAAAAGCAGCCCACCAGCATTATTATGTTTTATTTTATTTATCATTTTATTTTATTTTCTGACCACTCTTCATTCTCTGGAATCTTCTTTTTTGTTCACGATCTCTCTCCCAGAACTCGAATACAAGTTCCACGAGAGAGGAAGCTTGACTATCGTTCACTTCTGTACCCTAGATTGTGCCTGCCACAAAACAAGCGTTCAAGTAATGTTTGTTAAATAAAGCACTATGGTCAAAAACGTCACTAAACAGGAGTCCCTGGACGCTCAAAGAAAAAAGCAGCGGGGCAGACACAGGATCGTTCCTTCCAAATCAGCGCCTCACGGCTACCAGTCCCTTCCTCCTGCAGTTCCTCGCACATACCGGACTCCCAGCCTCCTTCACTCGCCCGCCCCCGGGACTAGTCCTCCCCAGGGACGCGAGGCTTCTCTCACCGTCGGGTCGGAACTCAAACTCCAGGAATTCGTGGCCGAACTTGCCCTTGTGACCCACGTAGTAACGTAGATAGAAGTCACTCTCCATGGCTCGCGAAAGGCAACTTTAACAGCAAACCACACCACCGCCGTACGCGCCCGATACTGACGTTTACGGCGGCGCGCGGAAGTGACGTCAGACGACGCCGCAGCTGGTCGTGGCCAGATCCCTTTCTACCCTGTCCGGAGATGGGGACAAGGTGGCTCCGCCCCTCCGGGCGGGAACGGAGTCTCTTCCGCCGGATGCGGGGTGGGGGCAGCCCCGCCTCGCTAGTCCAAGGCGGGAACCGAGCTGAGGTTGATAGACTAGCGTCCTCTTGGTCTTGAGGCTAGAAGCCTCCTGAGGGCGTCTGGGCTTCGTGGTGTGTCTGGAGGCGCACTTGGAGACCTTGGGCTGAATACCCCGAGTACTATGTCCCTCCAGGTTCCACCTCCATTTAGGACACCTGACTATGTGAGTCAGACAGGGCCCTTCACCGTCTTGAGACCTAGGTCTTCTCAACATTAAAATGAAGTTAAAGCACCCTACCTAACGGGAGGGCGCAGCACACGAGGGTACTTGTGTCTAATGTTGACTCCGACTGAACTCTGCCCTTTAAGGATCAGTTCCAGAAACCATTGTCTTTGATGCTTTCCCTGACTCCACAGTGGAGGTTGCCATTTTCCTGCAACTAACTCGCCCACACTTACCCCCACTTAAGCTCTACCTTTTATTTCCCTTTCTACCTCACTGCACTCTATATGAGGTGCTGTGAGTAGGAGTTAAGTTGAATATCTGATCTCCTACTCTGTCATCTATGCACTGCTTACCCAGCAGTGATTCTTAGTCCTGGCAGTGCAATTGAATCGCCTCGGAGGACCTAAAAAATAAACGTGCCTGGGCCCCACCCCAAACCAATTCAATCAAAATCCCCCACGGTGGATCTGTGCATTGATATTTCTTTTTGCAGAGCTCCCCAGTTGAGTCAAGATTGAGAACTGCCCAAGAGGTCCTTGCCTTTTTCAGGCTGAAGTGATTGACATCTGTGAAGGCCTTCTGGCTGTGGAAAATTTTTATTCCTTGATTAGGCCAAGGGCAACCAAACTGCTCATTATTAGAAGCCTGCCTTATTTAGCTCATCTGAGTTCCAGCCAAAGGGGAAATGGAATTGGTTCTTGGTGCTGAGATGGTATTCTTGTGGCCTGGCAGCTCTAACTGTACTATTCTGTATTCAGGCTAGTGGTCTCTGATTCTCATTCCCAGTCTTGCCATTACTACTTTTCTCCCTGAAATAGCATTGGTAGTAGAGTGGGTGTGATGGGGTGGAAAAGCCACTGGAGATTTGTGTTAACCCCATTTGTGACAGTTAGTTACTGTGACCAAAGTTGAACTGATTGAACTTTTTGGACCTCATGTTTCTTTTCTTTAAAATGAGCATAATAATATTATACATCTGGCATAACTGTTGTAAAGATAAGAAATAATGTCTTGGAAATTGGAAAATACTTTGAAAACTGTAAATTGCTATAAGGCATTTTATTTAAAAAAAACAAACACCAGATGTGAGTGGTAACAAGGGACTTGTATAAAAGAGAAGGAAACCACAAGGTATTAGGCCACTAACAGGTCAGCCCTTAGGCTGAGTATGTTTACAAGTGCTTGTTCTTTGAATCCTCACAACAATCTTGAGGTGGTAATTGGAGTTAAGTATTTAGAGACATTGGATAATGACCATAAGGTTATTTTCCAAGAGTGGAATTATAAAAATTATAATGTAATTGGTGAATCTGGGCATCTGCAGATGTGGCAAATATCAAAAATGCTGAGAAAATTAAAGGACGCTCAACTCCAATCAGGCTGTTAGGTGATTTCAGGTTTTGGAGTATGAGACAACGTAGCATAGCTGAAAGAACATGCATGATCTGTGTGTTTGATGTGCCTAAATTCAGCATAATTTACTGAGCATCTACTAAGTGTCATGTGCTGGGAATACAATGGTGAGTAACACAGACCTCTATAGAACTTGCAGAGGAGGCAATTAAGGAGCATGCAAACAATCAATTTAGTTAAAATTTACAAATAGGGAAAGCACAGAACACTATTGGAAGCACATGGAGTGGCTCCTAATCCAGCCTATGGGCCTAAGGGAAGTCTTCCTGAAGAAAATGTTCCAGACAGAGAGCCCAGAACTGTGTGGTTCAAATACAGAATAAGGTTGTGAAAATAGTAATGAGGTTGGAGAAGGGGCAGAAGCCAAATCATGAAGACCTTACCATCCATATTAAGGAGTTTGGGCTAAAACCCAAGGGTATTGGATTTTAATGCAAGGAAAATGGATGAAGGGCTTTAAGCAGAGAAGTGGAAAGGGGTGGTGGTGACATGATCTATTGCATTCTAGAAATACCACTCTGGCTGCAATGTTGTAGACTAGATGGGAAAATGGAAAGTTTAGAAGTGTGAAACTCAGATAAGTAGTTGTTAATCTATGGTGGTGATAATCCAAGATGATGGTGGCCTGTACTCGGATAGTGGCAATGGAGATATAAAAGTGGATGGATCTAAGATGGAATGCCATAACATAAGGGGTAGGTAAAGGAGATTAAGATGTGGCCAGAGAGGTAGGGGGAAAACCAGGAGTATTGTGTCATATAAGCCAAAATAAGAATATTTCAAGAAAGGAGCGCCAACATTGTTACACACTGCTTCCAGGTCAAGGAAGATAAGGACTGAAAGTATTTATGAGATTTATAATCAAGGAGACCCTGGGTGACCAAGCAACCTCAGTGGCATGAGAGTCAGAGGCAGGGCAGAAGTACTGGGATACAAGTACGCAAAACCTGCATAGAAGTGTAGTTACCTAACCCTGTGAGTTAGGTATGAGAATGAGAGAACAAAGACGGCTTTCTAGGTGAAGTACTCAAGGACAAATAGGAGTTATCTAGACGAAGCAGAGAAGGAAAATCTAGGCACCACATGTGCATGAGCACTGCATGCACTACATGTACTTTGGGGGCACTAAACATAACTGTGTGACCTTGGGCAGTTCCTTCACTCATTTCCTCATCTCTAAAATGGGAATGATAATACCTATAGTCTTTATCGTGCAAGATCGTTCACTCCGCCTTCATTAAAGCATCACAAACAGTACTTTCAGATTTTTAAAAAATGAGTTTAATGTCTCTCTAGAAACAGTGCACTGATTTTACAAATGTCCACATTTGGCTTTTAGTTCACCAAGAAGACGTCAGTACAGCTAGTAAGATGAAGCACACCACCCTTTGCCGCTGGAAGAGAAACCAGACTGCAAGGGGCACTGAGCATAGAAACTAACAGAACTCGGAAAGACAAAAGCAGAAATGGTTGGCGTGACCCAACATCCTAACATGCCTGTTACATCACATATGGTCATGTGGGGGTGTCAGGGGAAGGGGGAGACAAACAAGGGAAATTTGTTTGGGTACCATGTGATGGAGTTTGCAAACCAGTACTTCACTGCCACAACAACAGCTTGTAGAGAACAAAATGCTATTTTAAAACACATGGTTTGTACAGATACTTGTTTTCTCTTGTAATTTTTGTAAAAAAGTATCAAAACCTTCATGTATTTAAATATATATATACATATACAGGTGGCTTTTTAAAATTACTTTTTATAGCACAAAGTGTTTGCAAACGCAGAGGATTTCTGCTGATTCTTGACTATGCACATGGTGCATAGCCTGAATGAACAAACTTCCTGACTTCTTATATTAACTGAAATTTTGAAGCTGTAATTCCTCCACCTCTAAGTTCTCCATATCCTGAAAATCCCCAATACCCTAAAAATAGTGTGAGAAGACTCTGATACTCTTATCTTCATGCATTGCCGGGAAAAAATTATTTACTCTGAAGCATTTAACTGATAACTCATGTATATTCTGTGAAATGATGAATGTATGTCTGCGGTGAGGGAGTGGGGTGGAGAGGTTCACATTCCTGTGTCCTCTCCCCAGTCCCACCAGCACCAGACTGGACAGTGCTTGTGGTCCCCTCTCCATGTCTTCAAAATTTCCAGTTTTCTTTTCTACTGTTGAGAAAATCTCAGAGGCTCCTGACAACATGGAATGCTTATGAAAATCCCTTTGCCTTTATTAGTCTTCACTGACCATATCAAAAAGCTTCGACTCAAATATATGAAAAGCAGTCAGTTTCACTTTGGCCACTGGTAGGCTTGAGGCTGAAGACTGTCATGCCTGCAAAGTGCTGATCCATTTTCTGTGATGCACTTGGTGCCTTGTACACAATAAATGACCAAGAAATGTTTGATTATTTGTGTCAGAAATTAAATAGAAATATTCTATAAAGTGCTTATATTGAACCTGTCTTTCCATCCAGCCTCATTTCTGGCTAAGCCCCCCTTGAGCCTTTTGCTCATTGCAATGAATTCTACACAGTTCCTTAAGGCTGCCATGCTGTTTCATGCTTCTGTGTCCTAACTCAGTGTCTCCTCTGCCTGAAGCAGCTTGAACACCCCTACTTCATTTTTAAGACTTAGTTTAAGGTCACTTTTCCTATGATGCCTTTCTTGACCTCATCTCCTCAGGCAGAAACGACCTCTCTCTTTGTGCCCAGACAGTACTCTCAAAAGAACCTATTCCTTCTTTATTTGCACATATGTCTTCTTCTACTGCTATTGTGAGTTCGTAATGACAGAAAATATGACTGACCTGTACACCTGCAGTCCCTGGCACTTAGCTGGTACCTAGCAAATTGTTTCAGTGAATAAACATACATTTTGCAATCACATAGATCTGGAGGGAGAGACAGTAGTTACTGCTGAGTTTAAATCCAATCTCAGTCTGAGGTTACAGGTTACCTCAATCTGTTTTATAAATAATCACGCTATCAAGAGTAAATAAATAAAATTTTAGTTTTCTCCGTTTCTGAAAGGCATTTCTGCCAATACCTTCATAATTCCACTGGAAAGATAGGCTCTAAGATTGGTAGCAGGTCTGATACAATGTTTGGGCAGCCCAAAGTAGTCTCCTGGAAAGGAAAGGGAGGAAAAGGACTGGGACTAGTTTCTTTTAAAATTGAAAAAAAAGTCTGATAAAATTTCTGCCCTCCTGATCTTATCTCTAAGCTTCCTTCCGGCCCTGTAGTCCAATGAC